TCGCGATAAATAATTCACTTTTAATTTATTTATATACGAACACTAAAATTACTATATAGATTTCGAGTAGTTAATTATACATAAAGAAACGATTTTTGATTGTAGTATAGTTTTTTTCAAAAGTCAAATCATTTAATTTACCCATTTGATAAAAAGTAATTTTAAATGACCTTTAATTTAAAAAACTGACGAAATATTAAAATTTCCAAAAATTATCATTCTTTATATTACTATTTTTCTATTAAAAATGACGTAGTAAAAATAATAGAAATTAAAAGACAATTTTTGATAATTATTATACAAAAATAAATGCTATTCATTAATAAGTTTTTAATAATTTATAAACAAAATTAATATATAATTAAAAATGTGAAAAAATTCTATGAGAAATTTTTATTTTTGTCACTCAAAAGCTAATTATAAATATTTCATTATTGTTAGAAATGAAAAAAAAATTATCTTTCATAAATAAATAATATTGAAAAATTCGTTAATAATTCTTGCGATGTACATATTTTGTAAGAACAACTTGCAAGCATTGCAAAATAATTCTTACCAAGCAAAATCTTTTCTATATTCATCTGACCCGACAAGAATGATAAGGGGGGAAAAAAAAATTCTATTTTCCAGTGTGTCTCTCCGACGATCGACAGCTGCACACCGATAACGAATTGATAAGACGTTATTTTAATATAATTAAGTAGACATAGTGTTTTGCAAATGCTAATGTTTGCTCTCTTTTCTAGCGTAAAGCATTTATCCTACTTTGTCAAAGAAAAAAAAAACCTGTCACTTATACTATTTCAAAAAATATATTGTATGTATGTACCTATACTTTTCTTTTCAATTGTGTTGGCAATTTTTTCTTTTTTCCTACAGTCAGCAATTGAGAAAATTATGTTCTTGTTTTCACTACAAAAAAAAAAAAAAAAAAATTGCCACGGTGAAAATAAAAAAATTAATAAAAAAAAGTGACAAATTTATTTTTAGATAATTTTTTAAATGCAGATTATTTTTCTTTAAAAATAATAATTAAAAAAATTATTTATATATATATTTTGAATTTTAAACGGCTAAGTTTTTAAATATATTCAAAAAAAAAAAAGAAATATCTTGAAAATACGTTTCTCAACGTTATATTTAAATTAGGTATTTAAAATTTAATTGAAAATCTTTTCAAACCGTAGGAATTTTTTTTTTTCACCAAAAATTAAGTCTATGGAAAACAAATCGACCCATGTCAGGGAATTTTTACCACTTTTCAAAAAAGGGAATATGTTAAGTGGGACAGAAAAAAATCTGGTGGGCTTGACTTCCAATGCAATTAGGATTTCTGTGATATTTCCCATCGGTTAGCATAGGGGCAAATTGAGAGGGGAAAGTCCGGACAAAACCACTTATGGGGGTGTTTTCAACCCTCTATACAAGAGTAATAGATTCTCAAGCTGCTAAATACATATATATATATAACGGTAGGGGGAGTCAATTCAAAGCTCACTTTAACAAAGTGTGTAACCCTCTAAACTGCCACGTGATATATACATGCGGGTGTATAAATGTATTCAAAGTTGTAACGACATTTTTCAGGAAAAAAAAAAGTTTTTCATGAAAAATTTCACATGAATATACCATTATATACATTGAATGTACCACATGAACTGATACTTTTTTTTTTTTTTTTCTTTTTTTGTGTAAAGAAAACGAAAAAGAAAATAAAATTCACCAAAAGAATTTCTAAAGCTATTGACATTTTATTTGCAATACATTGCATTTTTTATTTGTATGTTTAGCCCAATTTCAGAAATTTTTTTCCGTGTACCTGAAGCAAATAATGTGTTACATTTTCCTACTTCTCTCCACTCATGACAAATAAAATCGCGATAAGAGAATTTTTAAAAATAAATGAAAGTAATAATATACACGTTTCTCAACTCAAGAAAATACGTATTATTTTTGTTCTCGGGTTTTTTTTTTCTCTCTTTTTTTTATATTTAAATAATAAGAAAATGAAATATAGTTATAATAAAATAAGCTGAACTAATATAAGACTTGATTTAAAATTTAATAGAAATACAAGCAAATTTTAATTCACTATAAAACTTTTGTTTTAAATGATAAAAAAAAAATTATATTTGTTTAACAGAGATATGCTATATCTATTTAATTTGTGAGAAATATTTGTTTTTTAATATATAAATTAAAATTGTTTTATTTAAAGAAATTTTGTTAAATTATATACTAAATCAACTTCCGCTTGAAATTATTTAATAATATTATTAAACTGAATAGAATATTTTTTATATATATTGTGTAAAAATAAAAAAAAAAAATTTTTAAATCGCGCCTAAATTTAAAAAAATTTAATTTGTTTATTAAAAAAATCGCTGTTTTTTTATAAACAAATTCAACATTTTTTTTTTTCGTTAACATATTTTGAAAGTCGATGAAAAACTGAAACTTTTTTTCTATCTTGGTCATAATTGCTAAATTCAATATTTTTAGAGTTAGATGTCATTGAAGTTAGTTGTATTTTAAAAAAACTGGAAAAAATCTCAGATTTTTAAAAATTCATAACTGGAAATTTTGAGCACTTATAAAAAAAATACGTAAACCTTTTTTTTCTATAAAGATCGAAAAAAATATATTTACCGAATTTAAAATGCCATAGGTAAATCTCACGTGGAATCGCCCGTATATACTCATCAAGACAAGGAAATAATTTTCAAATCGTTAACGAAATTCAATAATACGGTAAAAATATTTGAATAAAAAAAAAACTTTTATTTTTCGATTTTTTAAATTATTGAAAAACAATAATTTCTATTAATAATTTAAAATTATTTTTTAATAACAATAAAAACCATATATTATTGAATCAATCAATTGTCTAGTTCACATGAACATTCAAAAATTTGAAACAATATACATAAAAAAAATTACACGAGGAGTAAAATTCAAGATAATTCATTGTTTATTTAGGATTAAAATCCAGTATCCATTACTTAAATGCCATCATATAATGTGTATTATATTCGACAGGCCATTAAGAATTATACCTACTTGTCAGAGAATATACTATACAGGAAGAAAAATGTGCACCTCGGGATTTTTGGATTTAGATACGAACAGTATAGTTTGGGAGGAATTTTATGAAATCGATCAGAGAAAAGATTGCCAAGAGTATTGAATTATAAGATCCAATGAAATCTCTAGACACATATAAGAGAGGTAATAACAATATAACAGCAACGACAATTACTATTTAGAAACGGCGGTCTACCAAGAAGCATGAATAGAAGTAAAGATTCCATTCATGAGACCCGACCGCTTTCAATATATATACATGTGTATTCATGAATCTACACACATAAAGAATATATAGTATAAGGTATACATTATACAATTATACGTATACCCGCAGCAAGAGACCATGTAATTTACTTTAATTTTAATAGTAACTTTGAAATGATTCCTATATGTCGGCACTTGAAAATACGTTTGAGATCACTTTCACGATTTCGAGGTGTTTAAACCAAATTTTCACACAATTACCATAAAAATTGATTTTAACAAAAATATCATCTTTAATTCCTGCAAAATCATTTCATAAATTTTTCCTTTTGACACAATAGTTTTCTAATCACAAAACTGATTCGGTTTTTTTTTAGGTTAGGTTGCCGGTTTTCGAATGAATAATTTCACAAAAAAAAAATATAAAAATTACTACTAACCATTAAAAACGATACAAATTGACACAATCAATTAATAGTGAAAATGAACAATAATTTTCGTTGATAATAAAACTTACATGTGAAAATTGGATCGAGTTTTTGACAATAATAAATTCGATTTTCAATCACTCGGTTGAAATTTGTCACAAAGATTCATTATTCAAATCTTTATATATACATAAAATGAATCTGTGGAAAACTTTTTCTTTTATAAATTGAGAAATATATTTCGGCAAACAAGTAACTTTCCAGATAGACTAATGTCCATGAACAAAAAATATACAAGGTGCGTACATACATTGTTGCCAAAATGCAATGAATAGCATATTAATGAGGCTTTAATACCAGGGTTGGGCTAATAACTCCACTAATCAATCTAATTGAAAAAATATAATTGATAAATAATAACAAATAATAAATTAAAAATAATTATTAAAAAAAAGAATATTATTATATCAAATAATAATTATTATTTTTAAAAAATAAAATATAATAAAAATGTGATTACAGATATTTTCATACCAAATCAAAATTGCAAATAAGAAAAAAATTTACACTATCTTGCGTAAATCAAGAAAGGAAAAGTCGAAATAATTATTATTATCATAAAAAAAAAAAAATAATAAAGAAAGAACTGACAAGTCCGGGATTGAAAAACCGCAAGAATCAATTTCACGAAGGAAGGACAAAACAAATTAAAAATGTAATTAATCCTTCCAGAGAAATACCTGCCCATCACATTAGAATTTAGAATTCACAAAGCCATCATCATCATTTCTTCCAAAAACATATTTTGAACAGACAGAACACAAAATCATCCGTCTCTGTCTAGTTTTTCTCTCCAGACTTGCTCTCTCAGCAGGCAGTGTGGATCACCAAGTGGGAACTCAAGAACAGAGAGCGCGATAAAAGAGAGAAAGAAAGAGTAAGAGTGAAAGAAAAAAAACATCTCTCAAGTCTGCGGGATCAAGAATCGCAGTGGGAGAACTTGTAAAAGGGATGAGGAGAAAATTTTGACCGAAGCCCTCCACCAATCATTTAGCTTGAAGAGACCCTGAGGGTTGGAAAATCGCGTGCTTCGAAATTCGCGGGGTTTCTGTATTGTTCATGATCGAGGGGAATGTTTTTACTCACGCTGCGTTGCCCTCGAGTTTACTTGAAAAGAAAGAAGGGAATTCACTCACCTTATTGGTTCGTCCAGTGGCGCCGCCTTTCCCTCACACCAATTTACTCAACTTGAATTCAGCTTCAGATCCCTGTTCACCACACTCTGTTTTCCAGTTTGCTTTCGGGAGTCGAGCAGGATACAATCTTTTTTTTTTTCTCCCTTTGAAAATAATCGGAGAACCGGCTTCACGAAATAAACCCTCGCTCACTCTGAAACAAGTATCACGAGTGAGAGAGAGAGACAATATAAACAATAATTGTTTTTTTATTTTTACAAGAAAGAAGAGTAGTGCGTCGATATAAATAAAGTGCACAGTTAATGTTTTTTTTAAATTAATCAATGCAGACTCTTCGATTAAAAGTACACTTATCATTCACGATTAACAACGGGCTCAAGTATATCTGACAAGGAGAACCAATTCTGAGAATTGGATTTGCAATTATTATTATTTTTTTTATTAAGACGTGTTTTGACGTGATTTTTTTTATTATTGTCAATTCGGCGTTCTATGAGAGCAGCGTGTGTGTATTCGCATAAATGTAACCGCGATTTATTAAGTGTCAGTTCTTCGAGTATATAGTGTAAAGTTTATTGCAAGAAGCTGATAAATAATCAAAACAAGATCAATTCAAGTTTGTTCTGGCTTAGCAGAGGATAAACGATACGATACTCCGAAAAGAAGAAAGAAAACTACAGTGTTTTACAAAGAGAAAAATTTTATAAAACTTATTGAAGTTTAAAGAGACCTTTGTTTTTAGTAAATTCTGAATGCAATTAAGTCTTGAATTTAATAAGAGCAGTACGAAGGGAGTTTTTTTTACTACAGGTAATTATTTCTTTGCAAAAAAATAAATTAATTGTTTACTGAAGAAGAAGAGAAAGATAATTTTTCTGAATCACTGTCTCCATAAAAAAATATATCAGATAACCTTCTCAACTAAATTGTGATAATTCAGCCTGAGAATATGATATAGTAACCTTTAAATCAGAAGATCGAACAGTATAAAAAAAAGTTATCCCTGCATCAATTTTTTCTTTTTTAACTATTACCTTCATCTGTTTTTTGTGAAAGTGTGCTAATTTAGTTAAAGTTAAATTTGAATGGAATTTAAAAACTTCTGACAAAAGAAAAACATCAATTTTCATGATAAACAATTTAGATAACATAACCTAAATTATGACATTTTAGAATTTTTTTTAAATATAGAAATTCTTTTATTATGTAATGCAATTAATTTCAATAATCTCAATTAAAAGATTTGTATCTCCTTTGAGATGTAACTTTTTTTTTTATTTTTCGTTAGGTAAGATAAAAAAAAAAATGAAAGTAATATAATCACATCACCCAAAGATTTCCAAATCTGGTATCAATAAAAAAAAGATTATAATGCTTAACAGTAATGAAAAATTTTGTTTACCAAAATCCATTCAAATGATGACACGACTTAAAAAATTATCAATACTTATCAGTTAGCACTATACTTGTCATGTATTATAATTTAAATACAATTTATTATATCGACATAAATTAGAAAAAATTTATCGTTCTTTCTGAGGCAAATAAAAATGTTAATTGCTTTTAAAATTACAAGACTTCTGATTAAGGACTGTGTCTGAAATGCAATATTTTTAAATTCCACCTAAACTCTAATTTTATTTCTTTCAAAAAGATTAAATTCACTTTTGAATATTGATGTCCTGCAAGTTATGAACGTTCAAACAAACGAAATCGTATAAAAGAGGTATTCTATTATTTTGACATTCGTAAATATTAACTTGTCGTTTTTATTTTTTTTTTTCGTTAATTTTTTTTGTCAAATAAATATTTTTTCAAATTAAATAAAACACAATAAAATGTCTTTCTCTTGCTCAAAGGTCCTATAAATTTTTATGACTCTTTTGCAAAAATTGTAATGGAGACTATTGTAAATAAGAGTGCCTTTTAAAAATGTTTTATTCGGACAACTGTTATTATAACTTAGACAAAGGAGTAATTAATTAAACGAAATAATAAATACTATACATTTTTTAAATAATGATGACCTATACACAAATTGAAGATTAAAGTAGATTTAATCTCTATTCGAAAACAGTTTTAATATAATAGTTAATATAATAATAATAATAATAATAATAATAGTATTAGTAGTAAAAAAATAATATTTAAAATAACAATAATACAAAAATTAGAAATGTAAAAAAAGTTTTCAACGAAAAATTTGCCTCCAATATTCACTTCAATTTGGGTAATCATTCATTATTATATAATATAATGAACAGACTGACATATTTTTGAAAATCCTTTTGTTTTTGACTTCTGGGGTCAAGAGACTTAAATATATGTTTAAAAAAATGAAAAATTTCCACGATTATCACAAATAAATACTTTAAAAATTGTTTATTTTTAACAATTTGTTTTTAATTACAATGATAGATTATAAATTCTACATATGTAACATAAATGATAGGTAAAGTTTTTGAAGAGGGGGGGGGGCGGATGGCAGCTGCTTGCGCCGCGGCTGCATATCCCTCTCCTCTCCTCATTCACTTTCACCTCTCCTTTAGTCACTCACGAAACGTGGAGGTGTAAACTTCAGTCTGACGTTAGTGTAAGAACACATTTTAGGAAACTTTTTTTTTTTTTTTTTAAATAAATATTTATTAAACTGTGTATAGGACATTAATATAAATTAAATATTTACTATTTTGACATTTTGCAAATACAGTGACATATAAATATATTTTTTTTTTTATAAACTTTCAGTGACTATATAATATTGGCTACTTGCTGTAGCAAAAGGGCCATTTAATAAGAAAAAGGATAAGATGTCGGCTGCTGTAATGAACACACCTATGTTTGAGTGCAGTGAGCTTCTTTTTAAGGTAATTAACATTTTTCCATTAAAGGAATTTTTAACTTTTATTTTCCAAGGTACTTTTTACAATTTAATGTGCTTATAACAATATCCAGTCATTTTCAATTATTATTCTCTGGAACTTGATTGTAGTAATTCTTCCTTGAGTGTTATACAACAAAGTGTAAATATTATTATTATTATTTGTACTGAAATGATAAACATAATTTTAATGTTTTTTAAATTTATTTTTAATAATAGATTTCGTTTTTGGGAAAACTAATTAATATATTTTTTTTTAAATTAAATCGAAGAATCTTAAGTATTTAGTGATAATACAAAAATTTGTGCACTCATTTGAAATAAAAATATTTTCATTTAGAGGTTAGGGTTTTCAATATTTATATAAACAATGATGACAAGCCTGTTTCAACACGATTTCATTTTCTAAGTACTGAGGTGTTTTCTTCTTCACATTATTAGTAATTAACGATTCTTTTTTTTTAATTATACATAATTTTTTGTATTTAATTTTCAAAAAAGCACATTTTTTGATAAATTTATATAGTAAATAAAAATTTGTGTAACGTAGTTTAAAAAAGGGAATTCCAACGTCAAACAGGACAAATATGAAAATCATTTTATATTCATGATAGACGGATTAGCTACATCCTTACATATAAATAAGTTCATGATTATATTATGCGTGAGTTTTACCCACACGGGAAAATCACACCCACCATTTCGACATTCTTCTTCTTCTTCGTCTTCTTTTTCTTATTAATTTCACATTTTGATTATAAAATAATTTTTTGAATTATGATTTTATAAATGCAGTAAAATTTTAATTGCTCCTCATGTTATAAATAACAGAAAAATTCTTATAGATCGATTTGCCAGGATGTTACACAATATCATTTCATTTATATAATAATTCTTGTCATATTTCAAATAATAATTTCTGATTTTAATAGCAGCTATAACAACATAATTTTTATGTTTCAAAGGGGAAAATTTTTTTTTTTTTTTTTTTTTAAGACACTTTTTTTTGTTGACATATATATTTTCTCATAATGTTTTAATTTCACGAGCGCACGTGATATATTTCCAGGTGTGTAAAAACGTAATTTTAAATTGCTTCTAATCGCTTTTCAGAAGAAACATAAGATGCAAAATGGCACAAAATAATTATAAAAATACGCTCACCTATTATTCTCTGGTTACAAATTTCTGATTACTCGTTTGAAAAATTGTTTTTTTTTTTTTTTTCAAAGTGTCGATCACATTTCACAATTCGCGTTTTTCATCAACGATTCCCATTTTGCATTTTTGCTGTGCGCTGATTCATTTGAAAAATATTGTATATTGATAGACAGAACTTAATTAGCAGAAAATTATATTTTCTTTCATTAACATTCACGTTATTTCAAGCAGTGTTTTAGTTTTAAAAAATTTATTCGACTTTATGTGAAAAATGTCAAATTATAAATTAGATAATTTTTTTATTATGAGATATTATTCTACAAATTTTCGATTACTAAACCAAACGTTCTTTTTTATTATATATATATAAATTTTTTCATGAGTGAAATTAAATAATTTCTTCAAAACAAATTAATATTCAATTTTTGATTAATTAGTAATAGTATTTTTTTTATTGCTATATATAACTAAATGTTGAGAAAGTTTATATATATAAAAATTGTAATATTTTTTCAATTGTTCATGCTGCGTTCTTCGAATATCCTGTGTCTGTCTTAATGTCCGTAACTTTTCGAGTCTCTCACCCGGTTTCACTGTTGGACGAATTTTTATTGTTGCACGCCCACTGATTTTTCGACTGTGAAGGTGTATATATATATATATATAACAATGAGAATAAAATCTCGAGAGAAAGAGAGAGCGAAAGCGGGCAAAGACACGCGACTAAATAAGACAAAACGAAAGGAAACAACTCTCGCCTTTCGCAGAACGTAAAGAAGTCTCTTTCTCAGTTTCTCTACCTCGCACACAGAGTTTCACTCCTTGCGCGATTATATATATATATATATATATATAAATGAAATGGATCTTATTCAACTAACAATCAATACGAATGTCAACTTTTCACCTTTTCAATTAAAATTAATGATCGTTCAATTAACTTGAAAATAGAAATGAGCCAATTATAATGCCACATATGTAATTTAAAGAGTACTGCATTTCCTATATTTATTTATGAAGTCATTGCACTTTCTGCAGCAAGTGAATGCGCCTGTGTTTTATTTAAGGAATTTTTTTTCTGTTTTTATTTATTTTTTTTTTTTTTTGATATTAAACAAACATTATTGAAATATTAAAGAAGCATTATTATAATTGCATGATAAATTCGTATGAATTTATAATGAAAGTTCATTAGTGAAAAACAATTATTTTAATAGCTTAATTTTTTAAAAGTGAAATCATCAATTATTCCATAAATGGTGATACTTATAATAATATATGCTGGATCATACTTTGTGTGAAAGATTGAGTTGTTGGAAAATAAATTTAATCGAAAAGCGATAACGTTCAAAAGCAATGACAAGAAACTAATTATGGCTTTGCCGAAAAGTTGGTAAACAAATTTTATATTCAAAACTGTTTATTTTAAATTAGAAGTTGTTGTGAATACTTTGGATAATATTTTTCGTAAATAAATTTTTACAATAAATTTAAAGAAAAAGAAATGAAATTTTAGATGATTCAACGGGGATGTTTTTTTTTTTAACTATATAAATGCTAATGAAATTTTAATATTTCTTGGACTTTAAAGTACGGCCCTGAATGTTCGTCTCGCTCTCGAAAGTAATGATGCGTGTCAGGGAATAAGCAACAGTCTTGTTTGATACTTCATAATGTTATTTCTTTACGACTGTTTTGCCAATGGCTTGAACGGAGATGGAAATATGAATAGAAAAAAAAAATTGAACAATCGGAAACCACAGTAGTCTAATAGAGCGTAACATTATGATCTCGTTTGTCTCACAAATCTCAATTTAACTTGAAAATTAAAACTTTTTCTTTCTCTTAATAATTTATTATAAACTATTATATTTGTGCCGCATTCTTCTCTTGATATTGAAATCTCTAAATGAAAAGCTAATTATAACTTACGTGAAAGAATTCAATTATTAATTTTATATATTAACAAAAATACACTCTCATTTTCCAATTAGTGTTCAAAGTAAAATTTCCTCGGGAGACTTAAAAAGAGAACAAATTTTCATTGATAATTCAATTTTCTTTTATTTTCAATTACTGATTCATATAAACGATGGGAATTAAAATTACTAATGACGAGATTTAGCGATTGAAACTGCGTATAAGTTTTTGAATGTCGTATGACTTTCTCACGCCAATTATATTATTATACTTACGTAAAAAGTTTCACAATAAATAGAAAATTTTATATATATATATATTAAGAGATAAATCTGAATTTTAATAAAATTTTGATTTAAGATTAATGTCAATATATAATTAAATTATGTAATCTGAAAAAAATTAAACTATTCTTAATTTAAACCTGATACTTATGCGTTTAAAAATAAGTTTGTAAATCTAAATTTATAAAAAGCACACGTGAAATTTATAGATTGACCCTGAACTTAAATATACGTGACTGACTTAATTTAAGCATTTGCTTGATGACTTTTATAATTTAATTATTTTTTTTTTTAGTAATTTTAATTTATAAATTAATCTTAATTTTTTTTTTCATCAAATTAATGTACAATCAGTAAAAAAAATTAACTTAGACATTTAACAATGGATGCCTTTAAAAATGTTTTACAAGGAATATTTTCTTTTTAAAAAAATTTTGTTAATATTGAAATAAAAACGAAAAATTCTATCACGATAGTAAAAAATAAAAATTCAATTATCGTAATAAATAAAATGTTTCATTGGTTGCAATCTTTCGTTTAAATTTCTGGTTAAAATGTAAACTAATATATGTTTACTTTAGTTATCGCATGGTTGATATCAATTTGTATGTTACTCTTTGAAAGTTCGTGTTATCTGTATTTTTTTTCATTTCGTTTCCCCTTTTGACGCAATATATCAATTTTTTCCATTTAAAAAAAAAAAAAAAGATTTTTCAATTTTATTTACATCAGTAAACAAAAAAAAAATATATTAAGATAAATGCCACAATTAAATTCGTCTTTTTGATAAAGTCTCTTAATTTAGACTGAAAGTAAATTGTTCATAAATCCAAATTTACTGAGCGTGGATAAAACTCGCTAAAAGAAATTCTCGAGAAATTGATAAAAAAAAAAATAATAATAATAAAATCATACAAAAGTGATAAGAATCAGTTTTTGTTTGCCTTGACTTTCGAGGTGACACGATTTTTCCATTTCCGCAAAAAATAGATCGCTCGACCTTTGACACACGAACTAGACTCTGCTCATTTGCTTTTCTGAGAGACAAGGCCCTCCATTTCACATATAGGTATATATATATATATGTTGTACACGCGGTTTCGCCTCGTCTCGTGTACAAGAAAGAAATATTTGTATACAAAACTTTTTCTTTCTTTTTTTTTTCTTTCATTGTGTGTCGACCTTTCACACTACACGCACAAGAAATAAAAAAAAAAACGTTCCACGAAATGAGTCATGTTTGCACGATTTATTCACTCGTTACTCAGCCCATTTTTTTTACACCAATTATAACTCAAAAATTTTGTTTAACAAAAAATAATTGTATAATATAAAAATATTTTTAAATAAATTAAATTTTTTTTTTTTTTTTAATGTGGATTGCAAATTTTTATTTTAACAAAGCAACATTTTTAATACTGTCAAATGTCTTTTTCTTTTCATTTTCAAACAATGAGTGGGATTATGTGTTCTATTATTATATATATATATATAATAGAAAAGAGAATTTTTCCTTTAAAGGTGATCTTTGAACCGGAAATCGAACCACGTGTTTTTCGTCCCTAAGGAGAGAAAGAAAGAGAGAGAGAGGGATATTTAAAATTTCACGACCTCTTAATCG